GAGAGTAGGCTCATTTTTATTTTATTTCCAGACAAGCATCCAAGTTTATTAAAATATCTGCCTTCAGGTTGACATTATTTTCCTTTGGGTTAGTTTTCACATCTGATTATTTATTAGTACATAGAGAATACAGCAACGTGGTTTTTCCAACTCCAAAACACATTCAGGACCTGAAACTTTTTGTAACTGCTCACGTTCAGATCTATGAGAATCTTCTCTAAGACATTTGAGCACATTCTGATTTTAATGGGGTTAGACATTCTAAATTTCTAATTGTTAACATTTTGCATGTTTTCTCTCCATGCTGGATCCCTGTGCTGGTCTTGCTTCCTAACATTTTGCATGTTTTCTCTCCATGCTGGCCTTGCTTCTATCCTGCCTTTGTGAGTTATTTGGCTACTTCTCAAGGTAATGTTGATATCATCACAAATACATTGCAAAAATTGACCAAAATAACTCTGATGTCCTCAAACTTGTACTACAAATAAATATAGTGACATGTCTGAAAAGTAGTTTCAGATGTCAGTTATAAAGTCAAGTTTTTCATAAATGCACAGCCAGGCCTTTAACTTCCATTTCTATATTTAGAAGTTTGAAGAATAGATCCAATAAAATGTTACTGAAGATAACAGAAGTTGAACACCATCTTCAGAACTTGTTTAATTGCTTAAATTCAGAATTCCAACAGAACAAAAAAAGATATTCTAGAAATTAAAAGTTATAATTTCTGGAAGACTGCAATTACACAAAGGTTATAATTATTTGAGATACCTCTAAAACTGTATTGATTTTAACAATCACACCTGTAGGCCCACAAAACTGTAATTGATACCAAAACATTCCAACCTGGATGTGAGAAAATAACCAGAATTCTGTTTACAGGAAATTAACAATATTTCTAGGTTCTTGATGTGTAAAATGTTATGCAATATTCAACACTGAAAAAAAGGAAAAATTAAAATAGCTGATGATTTATTGGAAAAATAAGTTTAAAACATAAAATCAGCTTTCACTGCTGTTGGCTCAGTCCCTCTGTTCCTAAACAAAATGTTACAATTAAAGAACATTAAAGCACTAAGCAGCTAAAAACAGCTATGGCCACAATATTAAATACAACCAAGGGCAGGAGCTGAAACAGAAGAAAAAAGGGAACAGACTGTGAAAGACAGAATTACCACTTTTGTTTTCTAAACAGGAAGATCTGACAGGGCAGAACAAGAAATGTTAAAAAACCACCAATCCTGTATATCTTCCAAGTAGTAAAAAGGAACAAAAGTAAAAAAAAAATTTTTCTGAACTTGAAAGAATACTCCAGCAACCAAATACTAGTATTAAAATATCAGCGAAATACAAAATCAATAAACTCTTACAATCCACTTAAAAGAGTCAATTCAATGCTGTTAAATTATTTTCTACCCATTCATTGTACCAGATTATTGTGGTGAGTGGAATGAAGAAAGCAGCTGCTGTCTGGAAGAAAATTCATTACATTACCATTAGCGTTTCATGTTCTACTATACAATTTCTACCTTTGTTAACGTAAGTGAAACTAGAAAGCAATGAAGCAGAGATAGTGAGGAAAAGGACAATCTGTTTAAACTATTTTTGAGGGGTGGCTGATGGCAGGACTTTGCTGAAACCCCTTTAAGAACCTCAGGTCACCAGAAAGTTGGAATGATTATTACTTGGATTAGTGTAAAGATACAGAAACCAGGGATCTCGTCAAGCTGGACAGCATATGAATGAAGAAAAACAACTGCCCTGGAAATATTATTTCACCAGGTCAATAAGACAATTTCATAGTTGGATTCTGACATTCTTGTATCAGTAAGAGTGTATCTATGTGGTGATGAGCAAATCTGCTGAAGCGCTGCCAGTGAGGCCAGCACAGTTTAAGCACAGGTTGGAATGAAGCAGCCTGGTGGGTTTTTTTCTGGTGTGACAATCCCCACAGGATTAATGCAGGAAAAGTGCTTTGAGAACCCAGGAAACACACACACAACTCTGTTTCAAAGCTCATAGCATGTGAGAACTCTGAGCAGCACTTTTGATTTACCCAAAACAGGTACGGGTGTAGGACAACCAACAGTAGTATGGCTTTGTGAAGGTAACACTCTAGAGCCCCCAAAAAGCCTTCAGGAAAGCATGCCGGACTCAGGAGCTTTTTTGTTTACTGTAATGGGGAAGAAGAGTTGAAATGACAGAAAGCCAAACCAAGAGACAATATTCTAGGAAAGCTAGAAGATTCAACATTCAACAGCTGAGAAAATTGAATGGTCAGTTTGCTGATGCAAACCGAAAGCCAGAGGTCTGATCAAAAGGTAGGATTTTGGTAATGGTTTCTGCAACTACATTGCATCATCTCCCATTTCATGTTTGTGATGCATATTTTGTTATACCTTGTGCGTAGATGAAGTTAAATTGTTTCCACATAACCTACTAATTACCTTGTACTTAACTGACAGCCTATTCAAAACTTTAAGAGAAACAGGATCAGGGAAGTAAAACTAAACATGATAGTAAAATGGAAAATAAACAGCAGTACAGGGCACACATGTACGTCAGAAAGTGGAAAAGCAGCTAAAATGAATAGGGAAAAAATAATATTATTTTTAACTGAAAGAAGTGTAAGAAAATAATTTAAGAATCCCTGTTAAACTAGAAGGAGAACAAAAGAATGTGGTGGTTTTTTTCGTTTCCCTAATAAACATGACAAAAGTAGTAGTGACACAGACAAATAATTAGTAGATAGGGATGGCAACGTACTTAAGCAAAGCAAATCACTGGAAAAAAATGGCACATATGTAACTATTTATGTACAGCCTTAAGCTCCAGGAACTTTGGAATAATTGTCTGAATTTGCAATAAACTTGCAGGCAAACGCAATCAAGTATTAGCACAAGTTCCTATTGTGAAAGAAATAAAAGTTGCATATGCCTTTTAAATAGGCATTTTTAATTAACCAATGAACGTCACTTCAAGACAAAAGTTTGTAATTTACAATTATAATAATGTGGATGAATACATCACGTGACAGAATAATATCTGAAAAATTCTCTAATATACTGTCAGTCTTCAAAAATGACAACAAAATATAAGGGGACAGAAAGTCGAGAACTTTCAAATTGTGTTCAGAGTCCTACAAAGGAAGTACATGAGAAAGCTGATGAGTATGAGAAGAACAGGTAATATCCCCCACCTATATTTCCTATACCAGTATTTTAAGATGGCAACATGTCCCTCAAGATTCCATTTGAAAAATTCTTTAATATGGTAAACAGTAAACTGAAGTACTTTCCAGATACATAATTATTCAAATTACGTCAGGAATAAGAACATATAAGACTGGGTATATTTCAGGAGAACTTATGAATGAAGCATGATTTAAGAAAAACATCAAATGGCATAAAAAAAGCAGAGATCATTTGAACTAGTTATAGCATTTTATATTTTAAGTAGGAACTCCAAGATCATTGTATTCAAACCAGTTAAAGCTTTTAATTGCTTATATTTAGTAATGTAAGAGATAGAATCATAAACAATCCTGCAAATATTATTGAGTTGTTATAGGGTTCAATATAGATCCATTACATCTGGAACACGATGTGCTGTTCTGTTACTTTATCTGACAAAAAAATGCAGCAGTAACTGGAGGACATACAGATCTCTGAAAACATGACCTAAATTTAAATAAAAAGTACAGATTTTCTATAACATTTAGAATCAAAATATAATTAAAGGATAAAAACTAAGGATTAATATGAAAGAAGGAAAGACAGTAATTCCATTTTTATCTCCCAAGTGTCAAAACAAAAGAAAAACAAATCAAATCCAAAGAAAACCACTGAACTGCCTTCTCTGTGCTATTCTCAGATGCACAAGGTGGATTCACAAAAAAACTCAGAAAGTCATCAATTTTCACAGCAAATATATTGTATACTTTAGCATCCATACAGCTTTGATTTGTCCAGTTTCTGATACAGTTACTGCATCTGAAAACATCAGTGAGCTGTGGTTAATTTATATAAATTAAAACAAAAGGAGAAAGGAAGCAACGCGAAACTACATGCCTAGTCATGCTGACTTGATTTCTGCTGTCTTGGCTCTCTTATTTTGCTCTGATAAGGAAATTTTGCCTAAACAAAGTATATGGATCTTCTCCTGGATAAGATTCCAAGAAAACACGTAATTCCTACTTAAGATCCAAAAAGATTTCAAAGCTTTTGTACAGTATATGAAGGGGGTTTTTTACATAGATATGAAAGTGAGCTGATGTAGCAAACATTATCTTGTAGAGCTGGGAAATGAGAATATAAGCCAGAGCATGCCCTTCAATTATTTTATCATGCACTTTGGGAGGTGCAAAATCCCCCAAAGGAAGACTTCATGAAATATGAGAAACATAGAGCTAAACATGCAACAAAATCGTGAGCACAGATCAACTGCCTTCTGCATATTCCAAGCAAAAGGTCTACTCAGCTGAAACGAATAGAGCACTCAAGGACCCAAACGTATTATGATAAAAGAGTAATGGAGTGCATTTGAATAGATCTGAAAATGACTAGTTAGGAAATAAAAAAATAAAGGAATTCCAGTGCATTCAGAAAAGTTTGGCACTGGAAGGAAAATTATAATCATCCTATGCAAAGCCGAACATTTCTCTATCTCTTCTACTGCAGTTCTACATTTTTCCAAGCTCACACAGATCATTTAGGACAGTGATTCTTCAGGCTCAATACCCATGCAAATAGATTTTGTGGTAAGGGTCTGCAACCCCAGAAGGCCACCCAGAAACTGGAACGTGTTGAGTAAACACAGCATTACTTGTAGTTCAGAAGTTTTTTCAGTTTTAAATCTAATATACAACTAATAATAGGGAAAAAATAGGGAGAAACTTAGGGAACTAACAATCTTTCTGCAATGTTTTCATTTTAAAGATGCTAACAAATACAAACAAGCATATTTACAATGAATATGTTTGGGATTTTTGTTTTACTTACATATCTTTGTGATCCATCGTATTCACACCTCTCAATTTTTCCCAAGCTGCCATCTGAAAAGTAAAGTTTCTCCGCCCTATGATCAATGGTAAGTCCGTTTGGTGTCAGAATATCTGTACTAATGATAACCTGGGCATTTTTGCCTGAGAGGGTAGATCTCATGATGCTTGGGAGCTGCTCATTCCAGTTAGTCCAAAACATTAAGCTGTATTAAAATCAAAATAACAAACAAAACCATAAGATACATTTTATAATTTAATTCTCTACAAAATGAGCAATAGAAAAAGATTCATAGACAACTATGAACAGCATCTATAAGTAATTGTGATAATCAACAGTGAATAAGAAAATGTGATAGCCAACATCCTATAAATTATATAGCAGTATCACAGTTCATTAACTTGTATACAAGTACAGATTTTTTTTCCACAGGTCTGTGCAATTCTAATATACTAATATTCTAACATTAACTTGTATACAAGTACAGATTTTTTTCCACAGGTCTGTGCAATTCTGATCATGTCTCTATACTAATATACCATTACAGATAGATATAAGCTGTTTAAAAATATAAACTTAATTCTGCTAACGTGTATATTAGTAATTTCTAACAGTGAAAATAATCAGCAGTTTTTCCCATATTAGAGTTGTGATACAGACCAAAGGACTGGTATGCAAAAGGATGATAATGGGAAATCCAGTGACCTTAATATGCTCTACTGGAGGCATGATCATCCCCTTGCTACTGTTGAACAAAATGAGCTGTGGATGTAATTTATACATTCTTCAGAATCTGCCCGTTCTCTCATTGCAATCTTCATCAGTATTTAATTGGTTTATTTATGACATCTAGATAAATCACATTTTACAACACAGTATAAACTCTTAATATACACAAACTGTACGTGAAGTCCCACATGGAAATAACCTCCTTGACTACCCATGCAACAGAGCACAGTCAACTATCACAAATTAGAAATAGAACATAATAAGGCAGAAACGCAGCCTAGTCTTCCCAAAGGGGAGACAATTAAAGGAAGCAGAAACAGCAGGTTGCCTTTCTTCCAGAATTAACAGAGAAGATAGTAGAAGTAGCAGCTCAATTTTTAAGACACTTATTATCAAAAGGCTGAAGTAGAAATATAAACCCTCCTATTATTTCACTAGGAAATACAGTTTTCTTGAGTGTGGCAGGAAGGGAACTAAATCAGACTTCTTTCCAGGGTGTTGTCCACAAACTCCATAATGTACATCTCTTGTCTTGTTATGTAATTTTAGACAACAGGGATATTTAGGATAAACGAATGGCCTACCAATTTGCCACACAAGCAACTCAGATTCCTCTTCATAAAGGCTTAAATTAATTTTGTTTTTATTTTAACAATGAGAGTAACACATCTGACAGAAGAAATCAGTAAAAAGATTGCTCTTGATAATTTTCATTTAGTTCACTTTTCTTGAAACAAGCTTGATTTTTTTTAATACTCCATGGAAATATAATGATTATTTGATCTGAAACATAAAAACATGTATACAGTGTTCTGCAATTGCTTTTTTTTAATACTCCATGGAAATATAATGATTAGTTGATCTGAAACATAAAAACATGTATACAATGTTCTATCTTAATTCTGCAATTGCTTTAAAAAAAAAAAGAATAAAAAGAGTAACATTTGTCTCCTAAACCACGAAATCTACTTTGTTTAGGAGACAGAGTTGAACAGTATTAGTTGGCTGTGAAATAAGGTGCTGCTGTTTCCTTGACATTAGGCAAGAATTAGAATCTGGTAAGAAAGATATAATACATACTTTTGACATTCATCTAGAGCTAAGACATGGGGATGATCATCTTCAGACATTGTAATTACTGCTTCCCGGTTGAAAGCTCCTTGGCGCCTCTGGTCAACAGTGTGTCTCGTGATTGAGGAGGTGGTTGAACTGGTCCAATACAGAGTGTCCCAAGCTCGATGATAAGCAAGTCCCTCCACTGAACCAACATCTGGAAGACATGGTCACAGACAGAGCAAATAAAACTCCTTCTAACAAAGCATTTATTTTGCCTTTTCCTTGAAGTTGATGCTGCAGAATCATGGAGTAATTCAGCCTATTGACTGTCAATTCTTTCATCATTTCACCTGTTTATGTTCTAATTGTAATCAAAGGCTTATTGTTTTTCCATGAAGTTAAAAAAAAAACAACAAACATACATAGAGATCAAGATCACTATTAATATCCCTGTAAAATATTTGTCAACTCTAACACTCATTAAATTTGTATTTTTACTACAGTGTCCCCAGGTAATTCATTACAAATAATAAGCACTTATTCGAGAGCAATAATTTAGTCACAACTTCAAATATCTTTGTAAGTCAAGTCTCGGGCATGTTTTCTCTAATTACTTGTATTATTTAGCACTATCTTTCGATGAATTTTCTAACACAAATTACATGAATAGGGATCAAGGTGTCCTGTTGTTATTAACTGTACAGGGTTTTTTTAAAACACTTGAAAAAAGACAAACTCTGAAGGTCTCAGCATCAATACATCGTTTTAATAAGCCACAATACCACACTCTTTCTTTCTACATAAAAAATGGTGAGCTAGAAACAAAAGCAAATATTAATAAGCAGCTAAAGCATATATTTAATGTCCAGAAAAGATAAATTGTATCTGATTTCAATATATAAAAGTGACAGACTGTGAGAAATAGGAGTAATTATTTCCTACCATTATTTTTGAATTACTACAGAAATGTACATTGATTACTTCACTTATTATTTTGTTAGAAACAAATAATTTTAGACCAGAAGGTTCATGCAGCTTATTAATGAACTACAGAAGGCAAAACCCTAGAAATATAATAAGGATTACAGTACAGTAGTTATTATAATTCACATTTGGCTTGAAGATGTAATTGTTAGCATGCAATTCATATACACAGAACAGAAATGTTTTATCACACTGAAAGTGCTAACACTAAATCAAAACTGAGGCAAATATATCAAAACTCTGAGACAATTATTTATCAGGTTTTTATATTCCTCTTTCTAAAGCATTTGGAGATCATCTGAGTACATTTTCACGATATATCTATAGAGAAGTCTCAGTGACTTGTCTTAAAGAAAAACAAATAGAAAAAATAAATTACATGACACTCCTTAAAGGAAAGTGAATACCTGTAAAATGGGTCTTTCTACTTACAAAGGAGATTTATGAAAAAAGATATATTCAGCTCACTTACAAGCAACTCAAGAAAGTGACTGAGTTTAACTTTAAAGTAGCATTGAAGACAACTTGAAATTTCAAAAACTTCTACTGACCATTGCAAAGATGACCCTTCAGATAAGAATTCCTGTTTTTGAAAAAGGTGAATGAGTTACAAGTATTCTTTCTTTAAATGCAATATTTAGTTGTCTTATTAATTTATTTTGAATTTGAAGCAACAAAAATGTATTGAGATATAGCGGGTTTATTTTTTGTTTCAGAAATCACCAACTAAAATCAAAGATAAACAGTTCTTTCAAACATCATGACAGAAATGTGAAAAACACCTACTGAAGTATTTTAAAATCAGCTAGAATGTTCCTGAATGCAGGAAACAGAAACTGAAAACAGAACCATGGTTTCTGCAGTCTCTGGGTATGTCTGTTTCTACTATGAACCGACAAAACCAGTTGCTTCATTCTTGGGTCTTGCATACTTGAGCACCCACACCACATGCATGTTACTTTTTATCAGGGCAACCATCTAGAATGGAACAATTAATTCGTTCTGAGATGTAACCTAGGTATTCTGCTGGCAAAAATACACTACTTTTTCTAAAAAAAAAAAAAAAAAAAAAAAAAAAAGCAAAACAAAACAAACCCATAACCCAACTTTTTGGGGAGTATAAGGTTTTGTTCCTTTTGCCTACAGAGACCTCCCAACCACTAAGATCTCTACACCTCAAACACACCTTAACTTTTTCACACCACGCTTCAGGACATGCAAAAAAGCTGGATGGGGCTTTGAGCAATCTTGTCTAGTGGAAGGTGTCCCTGCCCAGGGCAGGGGGGCTGGATCTTGGTGATCTTCCAAGCCAAACCATTCTATGATAACAACATCAAAATATCACTCTTAGGACTAACATACAGCCAGCACACAGTTTTAGGCAGCATAAGCCAGAAGAAATCCTAAAAATAATGACAACATCTAAGACCGAGAAAGACAACATAGGATTTGAAGGGAACCTGGATAGCCCAAATCATCCTAGCGGCACCGGGCCAAGCACTGCGTACATGAACCACCCAACTCCCTGGTCTGGGCTCACAGATCATTAACAGAGGCAGCAATCTCTACAGTTTAGATATAGGCTTTAATATACTTCTTGGACACTTCTTCAAATCTTCCACTAACTATGAAATTAAAAGAAAACTTGGGAAGCATGATAAATGTTAACATAAAGGGCCAGGAATGCAATACTAACTTAATCTACTAATTTACATTAAAATTATATGATGAATCCCCTTTTACCACTGCTTACAATTCTCTAAACTAAACACAACAGTCTTAGATATTATTTGGAAAATGCTCTTACATAGATATGATTTAACTCTTAAGTTTCCCTGTGTGGATTCAGGAGTTGGTTGTGATGATCCTTGTGCATCCCTTCCAATACACGATATTCTTTGGTTTTATTAATTCACAAAAGATGCATTGGCATTTTCTGACCAATTCTGCACTTTGTTTGTAATGAACAAACCATCAGAGCATTTATTGCACTGTTTTTATCTTTCACATCTGTGAATGTTGAGTGCTTCCTCATCTTTATTATGGAAGTTTTTAGAAAAATGTAATCCAGTCTTTGTCTTGTAGCTAAAGACACAGCCCTCAGGATGTGAGGATTTAACTAAGATTTGCTGTGAATCCCGCTCTTTCGAAAGATCACTATCCAAAAAAACCACCAAAAAACAAAAAATGAAAAAAACCACCCAAGCATTTCCCTCATGTAACCTCTTGAATTTCTATCAACTTTAGTTTTGTTCCTTGTCTGAATCTGTCAAGAAATTTTAAAGCAAACTGTTTATACAACATAGCCTAAAACTCTGCTGTAGTAGACAAAGGATAATGATGTTGTTCCTGCCATAGCTAGATGTGATGACCTAGAACACAACTGGAATGATTAAAGTGCTCTTCAAATACAAGACGTAGGTTTACTTGCAATTCCTATACTTAAGAACTCATTTTTTCTACAGGAAACAGAAAGTACAGCTTCGCATTCTTGAACTGGATTAACACACCATACTGCAACTCCACATCAAAGTCTGTAAACTGTGACAGAAGAAGGTTTAGTCCAAAACGATTATTTATAAAATGTTTATTTCTAAACTTTAGAAAAGAGAGTCATGGAAAGTTATGCTATATATGGAGACAAGCAAACGTTTAGCAGACAGACAAAAAATGCAGCTTCCTCTTGTTTTAATAAAATATCTAAAATATGCAGTTTTGGAAAACCTTGCCACATATACTCATGTTCTAAGTGGAGTAGAACTGAAACAAAGCAATCAATAAAACATTTTATTAAAAAGAGAAAGTCAGAAACAACTTTAAAAGAAAATAAGAAGCTAAGATAAAAAGTAGAAATCTCTATCTTTTTAATTTTTTGAAATTTAAATGATTAAGACTGTGAGTGAAAACTAAAAAAAAAAAAAAAAAAAAAATAAAAAAAAAAAAAAAAAAAAAGAAAAAAACCTGGAAATAATCCAGCAACAGAGTCAGGCTGTGAAAGCTGCCTGAAATCAAAACATTTCCCTAATTGGATATCAGATATTTATCAGAAATAAAGCTTCAGGAACTGCTTGATGAATATATGCTTTTTAAAAGATGAGCTTTTTAAAGAAGAAGGGCTTCTTATTAGATGATCACATCCTTGAGCAAATGAAATCTGAAACTATCAAAAGATTCTGGTGACAAGCCTGTGGATGGTAATGGTTTCATAAACAAACACAAAAATTCAGAGTAAAAAAATATGCATTTCTTTAAAAGAAAAATCTTTTAGAGGAATTCAACTGCCTTGATGTAAAACAATAGAAAACCCTAATTAAATATGAAACTCTCTGCTCCAAACACATACCAAAAGCACTTGCTTAGCTCCACGAAAAGTATAAATTCTGAAGGATTTATACTAAGCAATCTTTAATTTGCCAATAAACTTTCAGTTTGATCATGTTCCTTACTAGTGTAATTGAGAACTCCACCAATTCAGAAGAGAATCATTTAATACTTTTAGAAATCTGTGAGTAAGGTGGTTGTAAAGTCAACGGCATAACACCTAGAGAGTAGGTGCTAAAGCAATCTAAGATTTGGATAAATTCTTACCATGGAAAATACAACTAACTTGGTTTGCACAGTAGTATAAGCACATAGTATAAGCTGGATGAAGTACCAACAGTACACTACTCAGGCACATCTTCAATATACTAAATTATCAATGCTAATACAATGGTGTTTGTCAGTTTACACCATTTCTAGGTTAAAATAATCTGTTTGATTGAAGAGGTTATTGAAGAATCCCAAAATTTATATAAATTCTTTTATCAATGCTAATATAGGTACCAACTGAGCACAGAAATGGACCTAGAAATGGTCCTTTAGCCACTTTCAGGTGGTTCACCAAAAGTAAAACCTTCCAGTAACTTCATATTGCCAAAGACAGGACACTGGAGAAGATTCCAAAGCAACTGCATTCTAGCTTTCTATCATTACCAGTTTGCATTGATATTATTTTAGATTTACTTATTTCACACATCCTTAAAGAATATTCTAGAGCATTTTTTCCCAAGTTAATTTCTCCTCAAATATTCAGTTAGAGTATATCAGAAATATGTACTCATCCCATCTGGTGCTACAATTGGGGGATTCAGTCCCAAAAATCTATTGACAGGATAAAAATTAGCAATTTGTTTACTCTCGGCTTCATATTTTCACAGCATCATATAATATTCAGAATTAGTAAAGCAT